CCCTTCAGATAGGATTTTATGTGTGAAACAAAGCATAAATCTGATTAGAGGTTTAAAATGCTTTAACTTCAATGTCTTTTGATGTTCTGTTTTATTGGAAGATTTTCTTTGTCAGTGCCTGTTCCATGATTTGCTTTGTTTACAAATTACATCTTATGTATGCTTTCCTTGGAGATGGTCACATCATCCTGCACTCCTCTGCTGCAGAAATGAGATTTGGGGAAGTTTTTTTCCAAAATGTGAAACTTTGTAGTGGAAGGAAAAAAAAAAAAAAATCCTAAAAATTCCATGACCAAGCTGGAAGCTAGTTTGAGTACTAAATGAGTGTTTTTGCACCTTAAATAAGGGGAAAGAGGAAAAAAAAAATATTAATAGCACATATGTAAATGAAGTTCTACAAGATTAAGATTTTAATTTTTAATTCACTTTTCTTCAGCTTTTGAATTCACTCTTCTGTGTTCAGATTTCAGCACAATGTCTTGCTGCTTACAGCTAATTGAATGGCTTGAATTAGTTCTCACCTTACCTTGCTTTTACTCTAATGCCAGAGTTTTGGGGGATTTTGCTTTTGTTTCCTGCTGATTGAAATACTGAGATGAGCAGGAAGCTGAGCTTAAATTTTCACTTTTGGTGGCTCCTTTGTTAACAAACTTAAGTGTCCTAATATCTGAGGTTTTAATTGGATTTAGAAATAATCGTCTCAATGGATTAATACAATTGCAAATCAGAGATGACTTTCTTTAGCCAGGGGTAAGTCAGCTTCAAAGCAACTGGTACCCTCCATCCTCAGAGTGTGTGCAACTGCCAGCACATCTCTCCAAGTCATGCTCTTTATGAAAAACACTTTGCTTTTTGCAGGGAATTATCTTGATTGGGTTTGCAGATGCAGGAAATGACAAGTGGAAAAATGCAGAAATCATTTCTGAAGGAACTGCCACGATTACTGCTTCCAGACTTGTATAATTCTATCATTTTAGTAGCAAAATCTCTAATTGCAATGAAATAAATTCTACAGGATTCTTATATGTTCTTTTTTTTTCAGTTCATTTTTACATCTTGCTGAAACAGAAGTTAAAATTACTGGTATGGAATAGTTTTTGAAAACAATGAATAAAAAAACCCTGAAACCAAACAATTGTGATACTATCCAGTCACCTTCTGGCAGCAGGTAGTGAAGATATTTATATAAATGAGTCATGCAGATTAAAGGGCTCTCCCACAGGTTATTTCATGCAACCTTCTGCTCAAACCAGCAATTTCAAGCCGTGGGGATTCCACAACCTCTTTTCTTCTAACTGAGGTAGAAGAAAATCAGGTTAGTCAGGTGTGATTTGTCCTTCTGCACAAGTAAAAATCTATTCTATCTTCTACAGCTACTAAATATGGTTTTTAATTAACAATTATCATTAATACTGAGCTGATGGATCCTCCTGAGCTGATGGAGCCTCCTGAAATTTTCCTTTGGTTGTAACATTTGCATTTCACTGTAATTAATTGGAACCAGGTTGCTAAAATCTAGGCAGGCAGAAAAGCCATCTGAGAGACTGAACTTGAAGTACAAAGATAAAACATTCATCTAGTAAGGCCTGGAGGATAAGGTTGGAGAATAAAACCAGTTTTTAGTCAAAATGAATGATGCAGAGATCCAACCCAGGACATCATAATTGATTACTCAAAGATATTGTGGCAGTTTGACATTTATTTATTTTCTTTTTATTATTTTTATATTAATAATATTATAAATAAATTATATAATATATAATACAGAAATTATTTGTTCTATTATAAATAGAATAATATTAGTGCTGGTCTTGTGGCTGCTGAGAGCCAAGTTGCTGTATTTCTGAGCCTGTGTTTTTTAATGTATAAAAACATTATTGCTTCAGAGTGCACCTTCACTTTTGTTCTAAATCCTGTGCACAATCAGACCCAGGAGCAGCTGAGGGAATAACAATGAATGATATGGCCAGGGTGTGAGGGAAGAAAAGGTTTGGACTAAATTCAGCCCTCATTTTTATGTACATGTTTATAATCTGCAGTGCTCAGTATTGAGGAATCCTTCAGTTCTAAACGAAATTCTCTAATTTTGAATTATTATCACAAAACACCCATGGAGTTTGTAACTATTTGTGGTGTGTTAAAATGACTTTATCACAGCTATTCCTTACATGTGCAGTGTTCCCAGTGTGTTTGATCAGCTGTTCTGTGTTGGGCTGAGCAGAAAATCAGAGTACTGCTCCTCACAGGGGCACTGTGCTGCCCTGCAGATGTGATAATCACACACCTTCAGCTCACATCTGCTTCTGGGGTAGATTTTCTGGGAAAGGAAGATAGATATTCTTAATTAAAAATTAAGATGAAATATAAACCCCAGCTCTGGAGAAGGTGCCCACCTTGTTTAGAACTTCTGACTAGTTCTAGCCTTCACTTTCTAGTTCCTGGATCTTAAAGATTTTTTTTGGAATTTGGAATTAATTTTGGAATTCTGTTGCCTGTGAATGTACTTTGGAGTTGGAATCCATCTGCACCATAATTTTGTTTTTCCTCCTTTCTGTCACTTTTAAATGAAGGAGTCATTGAACATATGAAAGCAATAAAAACATAAAAGAGATTTATATGAGCCACCCCTTGTTATAATAATTGAATTGGCACTCAAAGATGCTAAATTTTACTAACCTGTTAGGAAACAATAGCAGTTCCATAAGAAAGTTCTTATTCTGTGGATGTAAAGGAAAAGTCCTGTGTTACTTTATCAGAATGGATAACTTGCAAGGAATGAAGGACTGGCATTCTGGTTTTCTGATCCTGACATTTGTGTGTGGCCCTATGTTTTTAACCATTGCACAAAATCCCATTTTACAGGTTCAAATCTTAATTTTCACCCATCTCTGGGATGTGTTTCCAGATCAGAAATGTCAGTATTTTTCCATTCTGCCACGGGAAGCAGGGATGCAGCCTGGATTTCAGAGTTCAGAGGGGGATCTGTGCTCTGCTCTCCTTCTGCAGCCGCTCTTCCCTCTGTGCTCCGGAGCTTTTCTTTCCCAGGCTCTCCAGGATCACAGGGCATGGTGCCAGGATAAAGCCCTTCCTGTGCAGTCAGGAGCTGGGAGGTGTTATTTTTCAGCAGGTTGTGTCATCCAAATGAGAGTGGAATGACTTGAGGCGGTAGAAGTAGGACATTTCCTTTGCTCCAGACAGAGGAGGTGCAGGCATTGCTCAAGAGGCAGCTCAGAAGAATTTTCTCCTTGGTGAAAACACTGAGCAATGGTGGAAGCAGACACTACAGACATGCACTTCTCCTGCTACCTATTCCACCCATCCCATTTCCACAGCAGCAGCTGATTTTCTATTCTCAGGTCAGAAACAATGGCTCTGCAGCAGTGGAAATTACCTGACAAATAAAAATAATACAGTGGCCAAAACATATGTATGGCATGTTCATTTTTGACTTCCTTTGTTTTCTTGGTTGCTAAAAGCTCACAAGTTTTAATTTCTTTGAGTAAATCCATTTTGGGAATGTAGGTACAGGTAAGTAGAATAATAATGCCGTTGCTCCACTCTGGTCTGTATGGTGCCAATAATATTTGTGCAGAGGCTGTCAAGTATTCTCTTGACTCTAGGAGAAATAAATATATTTAGAGGGGTTTTCAGGTTTATTTTTTTCAGGAGGATTTATTTTTTTTTTTATTTCAGTGATTACACTGCAAACACACTTGTAAAAACAGCTTCTCAGAAAATACAAAATACAATATATAAAACCAGAGAAACCTTCTGTTGGATTTTATTACTACCATTCATGGGCATCAATTTATGCAGATGGTTTTATGCCAGACTTCTGCAAGATTCCTGTGGCCCTTGTCCTGTCACACAGCACATTTCAGTCTTGCTCACTCCAGAGCTGTGTAAGAGCTTCACAATTTTGCACATAGTGTTTTCAGTGTTTTTGAAAAGCACTGTGCAGCTCTGCCTTTTTCACTCAAATAATTAAACATGTGGAGCTAGTTACATGGGTGACAGCCATACAGAATTTTAGCTCTTCACCATGTCTGTTGGAAATACAAATTTGTGGATTGCTCTTGGGATTTGTCTTTCAGGTGATTGAGGGGAGTGGATGGATAAACTGTGTGTGTGGGCATGTAACACAATCCATTGTTGGCATCACAGTTTGTGCTCTAAGAGCACCAAAGTATATTGCTGGCATATAAAATTAACAGAATTAACTATCAGAACTCACACTCCTGCAGTTGACATTACAGTGTGCTGTAGGGACAATACTGCTCGAAAACAAAGAGTGTTTAAATAGTTTGTGTCATTGTTTCTCCTCTTTTTACACATGCTGGCTTGAAACCCCAGCTGTATATGACAGAGCAAGTTGTTTCAGCTTTCTGTAATTTTATTCCTTAGCAAGCAGTTTGAATTTACATCAACAGAAATAGCACATGGACCTCCTGTCTGGATCCTGTATTTCAGTCCTGTATTTTCAGCTGGGCTCAAGGCCAAGAGCCTCGAGCAAGATTTTCATCCTCTCTGGTTAAATGTTGCCACTCTGGGGTAAAAAATGCTGGAAGAAGAGAATTAACAGCAGCTGCACCATGTAAATGTTGGAATAGAAGCCCTGGTGTTGGTGTTCTCAGAAAGCCTCAGGTGCAGTGCATTCTGTGTACATCTTCCATGAGAACAATCCAGAGTTCAGAGCACTTCAGCAGGCAGGTGACAGAGCTTTGTAGCAGACCCAGCTCCCATTTCAAGTTTATTTTGAGTAAGAGGGTTGTCAGAGGTTGCAGCTTGTGCTGTGCCTCTGTAACTGAGGCTGGGATTCTGCTGAATGAGCTCTTGGCAATCCTTTGTGCGATACCAGAAGTGATAGAATGTGTGAGCTGGCAACATCAGAAAGCAGCATTGACTTATGCTCTGTATTAGAAAGAGAAGCTTCTAGTAATTATGTTTGTGCTGGGACACTGCCATTAGTCTGACTCTTGCTTTCATTTCTGCTGGCCCAGGAAATCCACCGTCGCTTCGAGAACGCTCCCGACACGGCCAAGACAAAGGCTCTCCAAACTGTTATTGAGATGAAGGTAAATCACCCTGCATGGGCAGCAGGAGGGTTTGGAAAATGGCTTTTCTTGGGAAAGGTGGCTCTACCAAGTACCATATGCTTCTGTCAGTCTTATAATTTAAAAGAAGTATATTTTTATTCTGTTCTATTATCTCTTATTATTTTATTTGTTGCTGTTGATCACTGAAGAGACAGACACAGTAGAAACTTGTCTTCTGTCTGCCTGCAGCAGCAGATCCAGATTTCTTAAAGTTAACCAAAAGTTCATTATATTCCAAGAATGGGAATGATAGATTAATAGGGGTGATTTGTGGGGTTTTATGATGTGGGTTCTTTTCATGTTACCAACATTTGAAATGCTGCTTTGCATTCTGTGTAGCAACGAAGTTAGCAAACTCAACACCCACTTAAAAAATGGGTCTTCATATAGCTAGAAATACATCTGTATGGCATCATAAAGCTAGTTTTTCTGATGAATTTGTGATTGAATTCTTAAACCATTAGCTTAAGTATTTAATGGACTGATGGCAACTGGCCAAGAGCTCAGGAGCCACAATCAAGTGTGTGGTTTACACAGCTTTGTGCAATCATATTTCATCTTGTATTGCTCATAAAGTCCATCAGACAGGGGTTGGATAAGTAGAGTTGAAAAATGGAAAACTGGCTTTGCAAGCTGTTCTTTTCCACTTTGTATCCCTCCTTTTTATTTTGTATTCTTTCCTTTTTTGCTCCCGCAACTTTTTCCATTCTGTATCAGTGTTTTCCTTATTTACATCCCATCCTTCTACTCTGAAGCTTTCATTTGCTGTCCCTCTTTTATTAGTCAGCTTTGTGGTCCATAGTAATGCAAACTAATTGATCATCTGGTAACATTAAGTGTCTTTACAATTCCTTATCAAGAGAGGAACACAGAGGCATTTCTGGGAAATGATGTGGGTATGGAACTAAATACTGCTGGCAATTTCAGAGTATCATTTCACCTTACTACCTAGAATTTTTTATCTGCTTTAAAATTGATAAACTTAAGTATCAAACATTATGAAGATCCAATTAGATCTTCTTAATGATGCTTTGAAAAAGCCTGAATTTCATAAATAAAAAAACTATATATGTAAAAATCATGTATTTTTGTTCAGCTGTGCTTTGCTTATCAGACAAAGAAAGAGAAGGGTTTTGTTTATAAAAATCTGCAGTATATCTTCAAATCACATCTGTCTTTCAGGAAAGACTAAATATTTTGGGGAAAATTAAATAAGAAAAAATAGACTGCTTTAAGAAATTATGGTTCCTAAATCCAGGTCCATGCTCATGAGGATGTGTGAAGCTCTGTGCGCTGTGTGAATCTGTTCTTGCTCTCCCTAACACAAAAGGCTTCTAAAGAAACAGCAAACCAGGTGCACTGAATGAATACCTCTGATCATCCTGTAGAAGTATGAGGATAATGATGGATTGACTTCTTTGTTTTTCCAGATGGTTATTTTTAACCCTCTGAAATGTTTTGTACGTTGTACATATGAGCCAGAATCCTTTACTCCTTTATGCAATCAAAAATAGATTGTTACACATTTTCCTTGCTTTTGGTGTTTTGCTGTTCCTCATTTGTGACCCCACTTAAGTGAAATAGTGGCACAAACCCAATTTCTTGCCATTCTTGCACTCACATTTTGCTGTCCTTTCAATGAGAATTAAATTTCTCTTTGAAAAGACAACATTTCCTCATGTTCCTTTATTTACTCATTCTACATGGTGTTCCTGCCCTGAACCATGTTTTCTTTCAGTACTAAACTCTTGCTTTCCTTGGAAGGTAGAAATCCATGAATTAAAAACTGAGTATCTGAGCACTCATATGTAAAGAATTGGATGCTGATTTCTCTAAGAACTTCCTAAGTAAATTTCAAGGGCAGGTAATTTATTGGACATGTATTTCCTTTTGTTTTGCTCCAAATGAGCAAATTGATTAAATGATTAACAAATCATTTAACTGTGTGTCTTTACCTGTCTCCTCTAATCATTTTGAGGATTCAAAAATTTCTTCCATGGAGCGTGGCCTCCGGGATTTGGAGGAGGAGATTCAGATGCTGAAGTCAAACGGAGCCCTGAGCACAGAGGAACGTGAGGAGGAAATGAAGCAAATGGAGGTGTACCGAAGCCATTCCAAATTCATGAAAAATAAGGTATGAGAAAACAAATGACAGCCCCATGTTACCCTGAGCTGAGTGGACAGAGGACAGAAATGTTCATGCTTTCGTTAGGAGGTGTGGGCTGGCTCCCAGTCAAGTGCTGGGAAACAGAACTGGTTCAATACCTGCCCTGAAGCCACTAAAATAACTTAAAGATATAATCTTAAATTCCTATTTGAAAATATTGTAATGGTGTTTCAGTAGGATCAGTGGCCCAAATTCTCCTTTCATTGTCACACCTGATTCCTTTTCCTTTTCCTTTTCCTTTTCCTTTCCCTTTCCCTTTCCCTTTCCCTTTCCCTTTCCCTTTCCCTTTCCCTTTCCCTTTCCCTTTCCCTTTCCCTTTCCCTTTCCCTTTCCCTTTCCCTTTCCCTTTCCCTTTCCCTTTCCCGTCCTCCTCTCATTTTTAGACCATTGCTAATCCATTATTGGTTCAGGTTTTATTTGGTCTAAAGTCTTTCCAAAGGTAGTTTGCTGAAGAAAGGATATTTCTTTCTGCAGCTGCTGTTGTGTAGCTGCTTGTCTCCTTTCATGCTATAAAAGCTGGAAAGAGTGTGGCCTGTCACAATAATGGCTTTCCATCACACTCTCTTTCCAGGAGTGGAGTCAGCATCAGAGAAGAGTCTATGACAGTGGTGGTGCTGACATTAATTTCATTTTAATTTCATTTCATTTCATATCATACAGTGTCAATATTGTATTGACAATACAGCAGTGAGAGGTCCTCAGGTGTAAAGACAGACATTGGCAATTGAATTGTCTACAGGCAAAAGTCAATCCATTCTTTGTTTCTCAGTCTTCTAGCAGGTCCTGACATCCTTTAGTGAAGGTTCAGGCCCTCTTGTACAGTAAATTTAAGTATATTGTGAACAGTCCTGCCTTTCTTGATTAGCTTATGTGTACTCCCTGCAAGCAGTATCCAAACCCTGGAACAGAGGTGGAAAATTGCTCTGCTAGGTGCTGAGCAGCTGTAAGCCACTGCATTTGTCCTGCTTGTGATCATTGGTGGGCAGCAGAGGCTGGGTGAGGTGTCTGCAGAAAGCAGCACGCCTTGCCCCAGAGCAAGTGTGTGTTCCTTCCCCCTGGAACACCTGGGGATAACTGCACCTGCTCTCACTGCTGCTCTTTGTCCCTCTCTGCTGCTTCTGGGAGCTGAAGGGTGCCCTGCCCACATGGAATGGGGCAGCAGATCAGAGCAACATCTAATTCCTTCCATCTTTCCTCCTTCCACTGTCAGCATCCTTCAGTTTCCCCTTGTCCTCTCCCTCTGTGGAGCTATAGATCTGTTCAGCTCCTCCCTTTCTGTCTCTTCTGCCTCCTGCAGACAATCTGTTCCTTTTTGCTGTCTGTTTGCTCATGACTCACGGCCATCTCCAGCCCTGACGTCTGCTGTCCTGCCTTGTTCTGCAATTGCGCACCATTTCTTTTTTCAGCCTTGAATTGCAGAAGTAATCTGTGGCTTGACAATTAACATTATTTCTCTTAAGCTGGAGAATGTCCTTTTTCCTGCCGTCATTTCCTCGTGAGCTGCAGTTTCAAAACCCTTGGGATGAGTGCCACAAGTTTGATGTATGCAAACATAACCATAACATCTATCTTCTGTTTCATAACCAAATTCTCGTCTGGCAGCCTGTAGGAAATTCCACAGACATTAAACTTTTCAGAAGACTTAACGAAGAACGGAGGAGAAAATGAGTGACCAGTGTTGATCCCTCAGTTCTTTGGCACTCCCAGTTACTTGGGCTGAAACAGGCTGGCCAGAAGCTGACAGATAATAAATATTTAAAACATAACAATGTCGTGACAGGTAGAGCAACTGAAGGAAGAGCTAAATGCCAAAGAGGCTCAAGGGGAGGACCTGAAAAAGAGAGTGGCTGGTCTCCAGACCGAGGTCTCTGCAGTAAGATCTCTCTTTTGTGTGCAGTGGCCATGCACTGGGCCTTGCTAGCTCCTCTGCCTTTCTTCTCTTGCCTTCCTCCTGACTTGATGTAACAAGTAGAACTAACAGCCTGCTCAGCCTTTTGTTCACTTTGGTGTCCACAAATAACATCGCTCTCCAGCTGAACATCTGTATTTGTTTTGTTGCTGTTTTTTAATGGTATGAGCTCTTTGAGCAATAACCTACTCTTCTCTACTGAAGCAGATTTTCAGAAGCTTTCAGCACCCATTTTGGGGGACAGACTTTCAAAGAGATTTGCTTTTCCTAGTAAAAAAAAACTAATTTGAAAACTTGTGTTGAACCTTTTTTCACAAAAGATAAAGAAAACTGGATGCTGAACGCTTTTAAAACTGATTGCTCGATTTTAGCAGCATGAATTTAGGTTATTCCTGTGCTCTGAAGTCAGAGTTTCACTCCAAAGACTGCTGAACAGGGTTTCTCATCAACAGAGGAGATGTGAGCACTTGATGCTGTCTTGATTCTCTGCAAGTGTGGATGGTGTGTTCTTACTAAAGAGCTTTGGCACACGTGGGCTTGCAGCTCTGGAATGGGAGACAAGAATCTTGTCTAGAGACAAGAATCTCAGGGTGACATCATGATTTTATCATGTCTGAGATGAGCCCAGAAGCAATCTGTCCTTTTGAGAAAGTTTTACTCTTATTTGGGCTACCTGCTAATTGAAAAAGTTTGTGTCAGCTGAGATTTTTGAAGGATTTTTTTGTTTAGATACCCCAGAAAAGATAAATAATTCAGCTCCTCCCAGCAGTTGTCCTGTGGCTGGCAGTTTTGTGCAGCTGCTGGCTGACAGCAGAAATTGTGCTGCTGACATCAACACCTTGGTGCTGAATTGGAATTGAAATATCATCAGAATCATCCTCTGTGCGTATTTGCTTTTCGTAAAATATGGCACAAAAAGAACCTAGCAGGTTTGAATTGAGTGAAAAATAAACTGTTGAGCAGTTCCACAAATTCTTATAAACCAGCAATTCTCATTGTTCCATTTAATAAAATGAGTTTCAGAGGTTTTTTGAGATGCATGTCCTCCTTCTTTCCCATTCTTGTTTCACACTGGAACACAGGAGTCCTTCATCACATATTTTATTATTTTACTATTTTAATACTCTTTGGTAAAGAGTTTTCTTCTTTTAATTGCCCATTATTGAAACAGTGTTGTCAATATAAAACTGCATTTCCCCAAACTTTTTTTCTCAGTTATTTCTACAAGTGTGTGCATTTATTCTCATCAAAACCTTTAAAAATTAATTATAAATTATGCTATTATTTTGTTCATGTGACAGGTTTCCAAACATGAACAGTGACTTGGATTATTTTTTAATCCTTAATTTCTGTTTTGAAGCACTGGGCAATGTATTTTGGGGCTAAGGGGTTTTTTTTTATGTCACAAACAGAATTGTTCAAGTTAAGAGAGGGAAAACTTTAGTTTTTAAAAATACATCCATGTAATGTAATATGTAGCAGTAAAATATTGCTATTCTGGCAGATAGGGAGCAAACCAGAAAGTTGGTTACAAACTTGGACTTAAAAGTACATTTAGTCTTCCCTGTCTTCTTTTATTATTTTTTTTTTCTCAGATGTAATAAAAATTGTCCTGAGTGATGATTGCACTTCAATTAAGATTTTAGCTAATATCATTGCTTCATTTTCCCATTTTTTACTATCTGTTTTTTTTAAAAAATAATAATCCAGTGTGCATTTGTTAAAATAAATTTGCATTTCCCTACTGATTTAATCAACCAAATTAAGTTGGGGGAAACGCTCTCAACAAAATGCAGTTCCACCAAGAGTTTTCATGTTGTTTTGATGAATATTTGAATCTGCTTTTAGAAGCTTCCCCAAACTATAAAGTTTCATAGAATAAAATGCTGGTTTTGTGAACAGTGGGCAAAGTAAAGGTGCCTTTCATCCTCTCTAAGTGCTGGATTGATAGGTGAGGAGCTGGAGGGAAGCTTGCTGATTGTTTTTTATAGTTCCATCCCATTTTTAAAACACTATTTTTATAATTTCAAAGCAAACACTGTGCTGCTGAGAGACCTGCAGATGTCTCACCTGCTCTGATGTCACAGGCTAGGGGTGCTTTATCATTTCAGTTCTGCTCCATCTTCATTAAAAACTTATCCCTGCTATGTGGCTTTGGTCAGTCCTCTGGAGGATCAATAACAACAGATTGCCACTGATAAAAAGTGACAAATTTATCCCTTGACAAATTGATGACAGTGCTCCCCTCTCTTTTTCCTGCTATTCTTTGCTGATGACACAAACTTTTGCCACTCAAGATGAGTGCAGGCTGTGGGATAATTTCCAAGCACCAGACTGTTTGGTGATACCTGTGAGTGTTTGTAGCAGTTTTTGCAGGGCAGGTGTGAGCTGTGTGTCCCTTTGCCTGTGTCCCTGTGTGTTTCAGATTGGGCAGGTGTGAGCTGTGTCCCTTTGCCTGTGTCCCTGTGTTTCAGATTGGGCAGGTGTGAGCTGTGTCCCTTTGCCTGTGTCCCTGTGTGTTTCAGATTGGGCAGGTGTGAGCTGTGTGTCCCTTTGCCTGTGTCCCTGTGTTTCAGATTGGGCAGGTGTGAGCTGTGTGTCCCTTTGCCTGTGTCCCTGTGTTTCAGATTGGGCAGGTGTGAGCTGTGTGTCCCTTTGCCTGTGTCCCTGTGTTTCAGATTGGGCAGGTGTGAGCTGTGTCCCTTTGCCTGTGTCCCTGTGTTTCAGATTGGGCAGGTGTGAGCTGTGTCCCTTTGCCTGTGTCCCTGTGTTTCAGATTGGGCAGGTGAAGCAGGAGCTGTCCCGCAAGGACACGGAGCTGCTGGCGCTGCAGACCAAGCTGGAGACCCTGACCAACCAGTTCTCTGACAGCAAGCAGCACATCGAGGTGCTCAAGGAGTCCCTGACAGCGAAGGAGCAGAGAGCTGCCATCCTGCAGACAGAGGTGACGTGGGCATTCTGCACCTGCTGGGTGCACACAGAGAGAGAAACCCCATTATTTCTCCTGCTCTGAGGTTGTGCAGTCCCCTTCAGAGCACTTGGGAGCTTGGTTGCTCCTGGGAGCATTGAACAGAGTGTTTAAAACCAACAACACATGGTTATACACCACTGATAGATACTCTCAACACTTACTCAGAACACCTTGATTTTATTTTATATAAAGGCCAAAATACTTGAATACAGAAAATTAATCCACTCTCTAATTAGTAATATTGCTAAATAACCATTGAGAATATTTGAGAACGTGCAGAAGTGCCTGGCTCAATTAGGAGCTGCAGGGGCTGAGCTGGGGCAGTGATTTGCAGTCACCCTGTAGCTAGAGGAGAGAAGAAAAAGGAAGATACTCTTCTTGTGGGCCTGTGCTTACACCTAAAATATGGACTTTGGTGGTTTATTCTATATATATATATATATATATATGTGTGTGTGTGTGTGTGTATATATATGTATATATATATATGTATATGTATATGTATATATGAATGATATTTGTTATATATAATTTATTACTATATATAATTTTTGATATATAAAATATATATTTTTATATATATTATATATTATTATATATTCCAAGGTAAAGGAAGAATATTTTTGAAACTATGTTTTGATGACAAATGCTTAATATATTATAATATTGTATAAGATTTTAAAGATTTCATATTATATATATATAATATATCATAAATATTATTCTGTATTACATTATATATTATATATCATATATAATATATATAATATATATTATATATAATATATATAATATATATAATATATAATATATATTATTCTGTATTACATTATATTATATATATCATATATCATTTATATTATATATAATATATAAAATATATAATATAATATATATTATTCTGTATTACATTATATATTATATATATCATATATCATTTATATTATATATAATATATAAAATATATAATATATATTATTCTGTATTACATTATATATTATATATATCCTATATCATATATACTGTATCACATATCACATCACATATCATATATCATATCTATTTAATACTATATATCAAATTACATTAATATAATATATTAATAATAAATCTTAAATTATTTACAATCCTATAAGTATATATATTATTATAGATTATATTAGATTATTAGGAACTACTTATAATAAATTAAAATATTTATTAATTAATAAACATTATGTTTAATGTTTATTACCCATAATAATATGGGTATTATTATGTGTACCCAGGTGTATACCTGAACAAATCACTATATATATATATATATATATCAATATATCAAAGAGATAATAAATGTAGCACAAATGTGTTGCTTCTGGACGTTCTTGAAGAGCAAGCAGGAAAATTGTAGTGTTAGTGGAAGTCCAAAAGATGGCAGTGATGCATCAGGAACTTTGTGTTGTTGCAGCTGAAGGATTCAAAGGCAAAGGAGCTGTGAAAAGGTGTGCAGGAAACTTGTGGCTGACACTGGTACAAGGATCCTTTTTACAACAGCATGAGAGAATTGCTCTGAGGTTTTTACCCTAATTTAGCTTTCCTTTGCCAAAATTGGTAAATCTGTGGGTGCCCATGGCCTTGTTGACCTGCAGTAATGAAGTTACACAGTAAATATTTTCTGATGTTCCAGGATGGCTTTTCTGATTATTCTCAGAATAAGGATATATTAATATTACAATAAATATTACAATTACAATTAATATTACAATTACAATTGCTATTATTATTATTATATATTATATTATATAATAACATATAATAATGCATGTAATACATATTATAATATATTATTACATATTGTTATTAATTATAATGATAATAATAATAATAATAATAATAATAATAATAATAATAATAATAATAATAATTAGAAGCAGAGATTGTGGGTATAACTGGGAAGGTGTTCCAGTTTACAGTCATAAACCTCCTGTTAAATTTGTTCATTCCTTTTTGCTAGTTCAGGAATGTGCTCTAGGTTAGTACATGTCTATTTAAAAGAAATATTTAAATTTCAGAATATCATTGAAAGGAGGTGTGAGGTAAATAAACATTTTCAAAGCTAAAATGCAGGCTTTGGTCCATTGCAGTGACTGAAAAGAATATAAATATGTTAAATATGCAGTACTGTGACAAACCTGCAAAGCTAAAAACATGTTTCTTACTTCTGAGTAATAAATAGTAGTACTTTTGCAGGCATAAGAAATTAATTTCTTGAACAAATTTATGTTATTAATAAGCTAAAAGACTTCAGTAGAGGGTGATAATTTCAGCTGGTGTGGTAGATAAACATATTTATTCAATTAAAATGTCCAGAATTGAACAGAGTATTTAAAACCAAGGAGACATGGTTATAGACCACTGATAGATACTCCTGACAGTTATTCAGAACACCTTGATTTTATTTTACCTAAAGGCCAGAGTACTTGAATACAGAAAATTATTCCACTCTCTAACTAATAGTATTACTAAATAATCATTGAGAACATTTGTTCTTCATTGGCTGCTTTCAAATGAAGTTCTCACGTAGCACCACAAAACCAAGCTGGATTCCTCCTTCCAGGACATTATTTATACTTTTGGAAAGATACTCTCATCTCTTTCACCTCTGTTGGAGTTCTTGTCAGAAAGCTCAACAATTAAATTACCAGAGAGTTACTTTTTTCTGTGTTCACAGGTGATCCTCTTTAGTATAGGGTTGAAAACTGAGAACAGAGTGTTGAGATGTTTGTCATCTCAGTCATGTCATCTCAGTGTCATCCCATCATCCTGGGATGATTGGGGTTTTTTTAAAGGGAGGGATATCTTTCCATGCAAGGTTTTTCTTTGGGAATGAGGAAGGAATGTGAGGTCCTGCTTGGCCTCGCTTCTTGACAGTGCTGGTCAATGTTAGAGCACAATTAGCTTCTCTCAAAACACCTGGAGGGAGTTGTGAGGAGGAGGAGGAGGAGAGCTGCAGTGTCTGACATTCATTGTCCTTCATCCTCTGAGGGGACCAGTTCTTGAAAGTCATATTTCAATAAACATTTTAAATGGAAAGAGAATGCCTCCATGAGCCTCTCATTTAGTCTCCTGTTAAAGAACCTGCTCACAGGTGGGGAAAAGTGTTGATAAAATAGCTCAGGAATGGATTTGCCACCTGCCACACGAGCTCTTGGTGGGGTGTTTATCCTGAGGGCTATGGGGTGGAGAGGATATTGTGGTTAACTCTTCAATTGGTGTAGAAACCTTTAAAATAGCTCTAAAATGGTACAGTCACTTTGTAAACAAAACAAAAAACAAGTCAGTATTTATGCTGGAATTAAGGCTTTATCCATATAAAGTTTTCACCCAGTGAGCCCTTCAGCTTAGGTCAGTGCCAGAAGTAATGTGGCCACAGTGAGAAATTGCATTAACCAGTGAGAATGTTCTCCTTTATTTCTGTATGCTGCCCAAGCTGGCATGGTTCTGTAACTGCTCTGTTCCTATGGTAAAATCAGATTAATATTTAGTAGAAAAATGAATCTAATCACGTGGAGGTTTTTATTTGCTTTGAATGTCTCATTAGAACATAAGCATTCATGAAGAATTCGCTTTCATCTACAGACCATGCTGGATCTGAATTGCTGCCATTGGTCTAGGGGAGGTGAAGAGTCTAATCTAGTTAAAAAGAAAGATCAATGTCAAAACTAGAGAATTAAATTAAGTCTTGTGAACTACCACTGCATTCAAATCAGTCAATAAACATAGCTTTAAAGTCTTAATTTCAGACTGCTATCAGTAAAAAGGCTGAACTCCTTTTTTTGATTTATATATATTTGCCAGTCAGTAATGGAAAATGTCATGAACCTGATCTTTTTTAAAATGTGCTCTCATACTTGGAGACTTCACCTAAAAATAGCTACAGTAGGTAAAAAGCAACTCTCACCTCACATACCAATTTCAATTTCATGTCTCTGTGCATTTCTCAATGATCTTTGAATTCTGAATGCTGACATAGAATCACTTCAACATCTGCTTTAAAAAGTGGCTGGCTCCTGTTAGAAACCTTTGCAGGCTCTGAACACATCCATTTCTCTGAACACATTTTGGGATTGGTATTCCACCTGTTCCTTCTGCTGTAGTCAGGCCTACAGAGAATTAAACTTGGGAATTTTGCTTGAAATTGAACTTCTTTGAATTCTGGGGGGAGGTTTTACCCCCTGGTACCACTGAGGGAAGGATGGCTGCGTTCCCCTGATCTAAATTATGGCTCAGCCATGGTTTGAACAGAGGACAGGCAGATGTGAAGGATCACTCAGGAAAAGAGTAGAATGCTGTTTTTTTCTGGGCATCACTGACATCTTCTTCAAGCCAAGTGGGAATCACCAGGGTCAGAATAACCTGCTTGCTACTGTACAGTGGAGAGGATGATACAACTCAGGGAAAAAACCTCTTGTTTTCAATCTCAGTTCAATTATTGCAAGCTCCTGAAACTCAGGAGCACAGTGAGAAACACAGTGAGGTCTGAAACTCACTGTGGACTTGTGAAAATTTAAATGATTTCCCTATAGTTTGGGAATATTCTAAAGCTAAGACTGTCATTACAGAATTCAAGATTCTAAAAAAGGCTTAAGATGAGATTTATATTAAATATTATTTTTTTTATAGTGTGCTTTTTTTTGGCAGTAATTGGAGCTACTAATGGACTAATTTCCCTTAGAAATTTGGACTTCTACATGTTTAATGTATGACCAGACACACAGAGAACAGAGACACATAATGTTGTTTACAGCTCCTATGGAAACATATCAGTGGTTCCCAAGACAGGTTTTCATCTCTCACTCTTCCAGTGAAGGAGTTGAAGTCCTGTGGGTGGTATCCAGCTGCAGAGAGGTGTTTTTGCTCTGTACCTGGGAGGAGAGGTGTTTTTGCTCTGTACCTGGGAGGGTTGGGGGTGTTCTGGGTGTGCTGGAGTTTCTGGGTGCTGCAGGCAGGGCAGGTGAGCCAGCCTGAGCTGCCCTGCCAGGCTCCTCCTGCCCTGCAGAACTGGGAAATGGCATTACTGGGAAGGAAATCCCATTACTGGGAAAGCTGTTAGGTTAACCCAGGGTTAAGACAAAACCATCCAAGACACAAAATTGGGGAGAAGGGGCGTCAGCACCTCGGTGGTGTTGGCCTGATCGTTTCCATGTACTGAGAAAATCCTGAGCTGCCTCTGTTTGGCATCACCTGACTCCCACAGAGCTCAGTTCTTGTCACTGTGGGAGGATGCCATGCATAAACTGAGCTGACATGGATAAACAAGGGCAGTGTTCTGCCAGGAATAGTGCTGAGGTGATGACTGTGTGTCCTGCCAGCCTTTGAAAATGCTTTCAAAAGTGTTTTCTATGGTTTTCTAGGCAAGGACCTCACACAAATAAAACCAGGAATGCAATTTACCCCAAACCATAAGCTAATATAGAGCTCAAAGAGCATAATCAATCAGAAAATGGAAAGCTTTCTGTGGATAAATTTCTATTTGCAGATGTTCTCTTTTCACTTAAGAGCACTACTGTGCTGTAGGCATCTGGACTGTCTCAAATATTTTGCAACACAACTGTAGAGAGTATGTGTATTTTCTTGTGAGGAAGGTTTTCAGTTTCCCTTCAAGAATTAATAAAAGTGACTCTTAGCTTTAATATCAAAGATTCCCAGGGAAAAACATACCTAATCAATCTATAGAACTGTATGTTTTAAGAAAGCAGACGAAGCGTGATCCACCTGCTAAACCTTTCATTGCAAACACTATCCATCCTATAAATCATATTTGGGTAAGGGCTGGTACTCTGATATCCCTGCAGCTCACACTGCATGCTCCCCTTGCTGGGTGAGAGGTCAGGAATGTGATTTTAATCAGGGATGTGTAAGTGAGAAGGCTCCAGACGCAGAGGTGGCAGCGGGGCTGCAGCGCTCACTGCTCCGTGTCACAGGAGGCACACACAGCACCACAGGGTTTTGGGGGTGAACACTGCAAATGCAGAGCCTCAGAGACAATTTTCCATTAGCAACTCAAAATGAAATGGAGTTAGAATAACATGTTAAAACTAAATGCTGCTTGGAATACCATGAGCAGAGCGAGTTCCTAAAAATCTTGCCCCAGCTGGGGCTGTCCCCCGGTTGTCATCCTTTCACCTCACGTCTCTGCCAGCCTGTGCTCTGCAGAAGGGGCAAGAAATCCATTGATCAGCCTGCTCACTCTGTGTGACTGATGTCCTGGAATGGATTCAGCTAACAGGAACCAAATCTGATAGTGTCAAATGAGATTACAGCCAGGCTGGCAGATTGGAGCTGTGTCTGAGTGCTGAGTGGAGAGGGGTCACAGGGTTCCTCTGCTATCGTGGGCAGCTTGCTGCTGCTGGATTTCCTGTTCCACAATAGTCTTGGAGATCAGTCTGTGCTCTGTGGTGACCTTGCTCTTCTCATTGAATTTATATTCAGGTAGCTCCGATTCCTTCTGCTGTTTCCTTTGTCTTGTGAGCTCTGTTTCACATATGGAAGGGAAATGCAGAAGGAAAAGCAAAAGATGCTCAAGGTGCAGTTTTGAAGCTTGAGGTCACAGCAGAGTTCCCAGAGTGTTTCTAAATTCACTCAGGCCCTGGGAGCTCTAAGTGTGTTTGTGTGCCCAAACTGCACCCACAATATCCTGTACTGTGTCATTTGTTCAATTCTACCCTTAATATAACACTGCATGCTGTGGAAAACACGTTATATTTAAACTATTACTTTGCTTTCTGAGCCAAAATAGTCTTAGGCATCCTAAGGTAACCTCTTTCCAGTTGTGATCTGCAGTGGCTGCAAAGAGCTCTGCTTTCATTACCTTCAGCCTCAGCTGTTACTGTGCTTAAAACCTGGAATATAAAGTGACTGCCTGGTGCAACGAGTCAATGTTTATTCTCTGATTATTAGTAATGTTCCAAATAAAGGGGTCATTTTCCCTGCATATGAGAGAACTTCTCCACAACACATTGTGCTGGCTTCTACTTTGAGGAAAAGTAGTTCAGGGTTGTGTGATACAAGCCTGAGTTATGTGAGAAGTATGATTTGAGGTTTTCCCAGAAGGAGCATTATTCCCATACACTTGGGAATAACAGGGTTGGTTATTTTTCCTATTTAGTCTCTTTTATGATAACTGTTTTATCCCAATCTTATGTGTGTTGAATTCTTCAAGAAAGGGGTGTTAGATTTCTGAATCTATTTGTAATATCTCCCCTGTGGAGGTGTAGTTTGGGGTTTCTCTCCTTCAGTGCTGAACAAAGCTTGTTCTGCCCTCCTGGGTGCAGGTGGATGCGCTGCGGTTACGTCTGGAGGAGAAGGAGACCATGCTGAACAAGAAGACAAAGCAGATCCAGGAGATGGCAGAGGAGAAGGGCACTCAGGCAGGCGAGATCCACGACCTCAAGGACATGCTGGAGGTGAAGGAACGCAAAGTTAACGTTCTTCAGAAGAAGGTAAGGCTGGAGAGCTCTGGGTCAGATAAACAAATCTGATGCATCTCAATTTCCAAGGCTGTCAGAGTCTGAACTAGAATGTACATTCTGGAGATAAAGAGTCCATTGATGCCATGGGAATATGCTGGAGGATGAATTTGTTTGAATTTTCGACAAAAAAAAATAGAATTCAAAACAGAGGTTGTTGCCTTTCAGTGACTCCATGTGCTGCTTCTGCTTCCATCTTAATATTACCTGTGGCTGAGGCATTTGCATCAGGGCACATGATCTGGAAAACCAATCCTTTCCCACCCAGCATCTTACCAAAGCCAGTTTGAAGCACAGGGCTGATGATGACTTCAGTGTGGGACTGAATGAGTGAGGGCTTGTGGCAGCAGAAGCAATTGGGATGATCTCTCTGTAACCTACTTGGAAAGTTTGTGGAGAACTTTGTATAACTTTCCTTAGAAATGCTGTATTATCATACTTAATATTTCTTGGGAAGTGCTAGAATAGGATAATCAGACTATCCATATTTTTTTGGATAAGAAAATGTAGCCCTTATCAGTGAACTGGGGGAGGTCTGGGTGAAAAACCGTGTAGACTGTGTCAGACAAATTAGTGAGGTTTCCCAAAGGGTATTGAGTCCTAGGGAATGGATGTCATTATGGATGATTGTTGGAAAATTGCACACACAATATATCCCAATTTTCCTCTACACAGGTTAAAAAGGGGGAAAAGTGTGCACTGCAATAAATTTTAATTTGAAGAACATTTTTTTTCTCTGTATCTTTAGAGAAGCTGCTCTTGGAGCTCTTATTCAGTGTATTAGGCTGGGGATGTGTGGGCTTTTGTTCTGTTTTTTCCTAGACCTTTAATCAATTCTACAGAATTCTTGTGTATTAACAGCTCAGAATATTGACTGATTTCTGACACTTGGCCAATGCCTTTTCTTCTTGTCTGTAAGTGTAAATCACGAGGGTTTAGGTCATGATCAGCTCTGTTACAGCAAACCTCAGGCAGGAATGGAAGTTCAGGCTTGGACTTCAGCCACAAATAAGTCATTAATAATTCTAGAGCACAGCCCTCATTCCCCATCTTCACAGTCTCATTTTTCTGACTCTTCATCCTTTCAGAAACACAGAGTCCTGATTTTTGTGCTGTGTTTCTGTTTTACAAAATTGGTGGTGCAGCCTCCAGACCCAGATTGAGATCCCAGCTGAGTGTTTAACCAAGAGGTGGGGAGTCTGACATTTGTGTAAATGTTAAATGTCACTGAGCTTCTTTTATTTCCATTTGCTCCTCCACTGCTTTTTCACACCTTTTCTTGCTCTGCTTGACACTTGAGAATGATCTTTCATTAGGTCATTTCTAGGCAGCTCTAAAGGTTCTTTTTTAATATTTGTTTTTTTGAGAGCACTGTAATCCATATTGAGACAGTTTCATTTTGTGTCTTTGTGCATCTGACCTGCTTTTTCAGGACTGTTCCCTGCTGCTTTCAAGTAAAATCACCTGGACTTTTCAGGTTGGAAAGAAAGGAACCAGGCTTTTAAGTGTGAAAGCTTTAAGGTCCTGTTCTCCTGGATAGCTCTGCTGAGGACAACAGTGCAATAATAAATTGCAGTTTGTGGTGTTCTCCTGTCTCTGAGCTTCCTAAAACAACAAAACAAAGAAACCCCATGAAACAAAGCAACATAAAATGCTGAAAGGGACTTTAAAGACCCTCCAGCTCCCCCCCTTCCAGCAGAGCAGGGTGTGCTCCAAGCCCTGTCCAACCAGGCATTGAATGCTGCCAGGGATGGAGCATCCACAGCTTCTCTGGGCAGCCTGTTCTGTATAAAAACATATAACCTGTCTCTAGAAAAATATATATTTCCTGTAGAATCACCTGCAGAGATTTGAATTTGCTTTAGCCTTGAAGTTGCTGGAGGCATTTTCTTTAACATGAACAGTTAAATTGTGAGAGCTGTAAATTCAAAGGGTTTTTTTTCTGTTTCTGTATCTAGCTAACAGAATATTCTTGTGGAGAATCCAGGACAATTCTTTTATCTGAGGTTTGCAATATGGAATTCCTTTTTATTTTTTGTACAGCCTGGGGTAAATAACTGGAAGTTCAGGCCTTTAAAGTTTGAGGGTTGATGTCTTTAACTCAGATTTTTAATTACTTGTCCAGACCTGGAATTGAAGACTAGGTGTGGGATTTTCTATAGAGAGGGCTTTGCATTTTCTTGTTCTCTTTAACATGTTCCCACAGAAAAGCAGAGCTTGAGAAAATACCTAAGGAAGGACTTGCCTGATTTTTTTAATATGTATTATTGTAGAAGTTCTGGGAACTTGCATAAAATCTGTTTCAGGTGCTAGGGAAAAATGATGAAGTCTCATTTTTATCTGGCTGTCCTTTCATGCACAGATAACTATTTCTGCCCTCTGCCTGGAGACTCAGAAGCCTGTAGCTCCTTTCATATAAATATTTTCCTCTTAATCCTTGTAAACTCTGATTTATTTTTCTTCTTTTGCATTTCTAGAGTGCATCTTATTAAAGTGCACACCTTGTTTTCTGCTTTATCCAAGTGCCATCCTTCAGACCTTCCAGGACAGTTTGGAATTTTATTGCCATAAAAAAAAAAAAAGTCTTTAAATTTTACCTCCATGCACAAGAATCTCTTATTTTGGTTACAAATTGTTTTGTTCAGACAGAGCAGGTTTTAATCTTATATTCCAGTTGAAGATCTGAAGGTCCAGTTTAAAGTATTTTCAGAGGTCATAGATATTATGGGTAGTAGTTTGGGTTTTTTCTTGTGCTGGCTTAGTTATCTGACAGTAAATGTTTGTTTTATGTTTACTGATGTGGTTTAAATGGTATTTAGACGTGAATTTTACATTTTAATTAAATGAATTTGAATTTTGAATTTTACATTTTAATTAAATTTAATTAAGGACAATTTTAATTGAGCAGAGTGGAAGATCATGAAAGGCACGTGGTACAAAAAGTGCTTTTCTTGTATAGTTTTAATTAGTATTTTTATATGGAAATAATATGTATTTGGAAGTTATGAGAAGGAACAGGGTGAAGATGTGGCACACTGAAGGAATTTAACCAAATCATGACTTGGGTCAGTAGATACCATTCAGTTTTCAGCCAAGTACTCTTCCCTCAACAGGTGCTCAGATATTTTTGAAGTTGGATATTTTCGAAATTGGATTCTAATCAACTACATTTTGCACACTAATATTTTTTAATGCTAGGTACAAAGAAATGTTTAGCAAAAGCTAAAGTGCTAAAGATCTGACAAGAACAGAATTTATTAAAAAATCATTAACTTGCATGACCCAGCCATTTGAGAAGACTTGATTAATTCTTTTGAAATTTAGAGATTGCCTGTACCAGAGTGTAGCCCTAGTCAAATGGGTATTTTTAAATATACATTATTAGATATATTATATAATATGTATTATTTATATTATTATTGATTTTTATTTTATTTTCTGTGCCTGTTTTTGATCTGTCACCTGTGACACTGACAGGGATTTGTTTGGATTGGTGCCCAAAGCTGTGCTATCCCAAATTGCTGCTGTTGAAACAAAACATTATTTAAAGTTCACCCTTTATCTTTGGGTCTCTGTGTGGATTCACTGACACAGATCCCCTCATGGTTTGCTTTATGAGCCATTATTTTTGCTGCATTGGATAAGGTGGTGAACTATAAAGTATTCTTTTTTACTCATCCAAAAATCAAGGTGAAGGAGGTAATGGAAGTTTGCTGGCTGAACAGAGATCAGTTGAAAGACACAGAAGAAGATTATGAACAACAAAGATCTGAAAAATTAACATAACAATTGGCATCATCACTGATACCCAGTAGGCACCAAAATACATTTTCCAGGTTGCTGAGGAAACCACATGCTTCACATTTTAAATCCTGGAGTCTTTCCAGTTAAGCTCATACAGAGATGCTGTATATAAAGGTAGTACCTTTATTTTAGACAATAGAAGTAGGGCATAAGGTAGAAATTTGAAGACTTTGGCTTTATGTCTGAAAATTTAATGCAAAAACTTTGTTTTATAGAGCTTCAGGATTATTTTTTTTTTCTCATTTCATTGAAAATAGATCTTGAATAAAATCTCATTTTAAATTTGTAGAACTCAAGGCCAGGGGAAAGCGTCTTTGAAAATAAAGTAGGGACCATGCTGGGCAAATTTGAAATCTGAACCTGAAAAACATTAAATGGTGCTTAATTACTCTTTTTGCTACCTCTGTCCATCTGTGCTGGCAGACAAGGGTGAAAAGAAATGAGGAAAAAAAAAAATCAATATTTTGCAATCAAAGCATTTTAAGGAAATAACATTTGGGACAAAAGATAAGTAATAATACACTGAAAGGAAGAAAAAAATCCCCAAAACAGGGAATCAATCAGCTCTTGCTTTGGAGATAGGTCATGTTTTGTCTTGGGCAGGGGGGTTAACACTCCCTTCTTTGTGCAATGCAGCTGCAGGCAAATAAAATGCAAGTTTTAGTGTCTGAACGTAGCAGTGTTCTTGGCAGCTCCCCATGCTCTGTGTGATAATTGACCTGTGATAAAGGAAGAACACAGATTGATTTTTTTCTTTGCTGGCTGTGCTGACTTGTTTAGCTAGAATTTGGGAAGGTTTCAAATGCTCCTTCCCTTTTGAGTAAGAAGCATTACCTTTCTCCACAGGAAATCCATGTCCTCTGCTTTCCAGAAAACTTGGAAATCAGAATAAACATCTTATGCTCAATGATTAGAAATACTGTGTGGCAGGAGAGAAGGGCTGCAAACAAAATGTGTTTGTTTAAAATCAGTGCTGCTCATAGTTACTACATAGTTACTACAACTGGTTTAGTATTCCTAACCTGGAAGTGCAGTGTTTGTACCTTAAAGTTTATTTTTATTTTATTTTCTATTCCTTCATCTCTGAAGTGGGTTTACCTTCTGCCACAGCCCTGAGGAGGTGAGAGAGCTCAGAGCAAGAAGGAACTGCATTTTCAAAGATCTGATTT